GTCCAAACCACCTTCTGTGCCTAACTTATTGCCCTGGTGAAGTAGATTCAAGTATTTGATACCTGTTTGAGGATAACCTAATCATTCTACATACATATACCTAGGTTGGTCAGTCTGCCAGGGATACTCCCTGTAGACTTTCTTCCATCAGATTCACATGACAGGGACTGACCAAGGGAAGAAAGGGCCTTATACACAGAGTACATTGTGGGAAAAAAGCATGTGTGTGTGTGTGTGTGTGATGTTTACATATCTACAACCAAAAAAAAATATAACCAAGTCTTATTTTGGTTTATAATTAGTGGACTTTTTTTTTTTTTTTTTTTTTTTTTTGAGACAGAGTCTTGCTCTGTCGCCCAGGCTGGAGTGCAGTGGCCAGATCTCAGCTCACTGCAAGGTCTGCCTCCCGGGTTCACGCCATTCTCCTGCCTCAGCCTCCCAAGTAGCTGGGATTACAGGCGCCCGCCACCTCACCCGGCTAATTTTTTTTGTATTTTTAGTAGCGACAGGGTTTCACCGTGTTAGCCAGGATGGTCTCGATCTCCTGACCTCGTGATCCGCCCGTCTCGGCCTCCCAAAGTGCTGGGATTACAGGCTTGAGCCACCGCGCCTGGCCCTAATTAGTGGACTTTTAAAAATCATTCCATGGTACTGTCATGACTCAGTGATGGTGGCGAATGCTCAGAATTAAAAGGAAAACCTTAAATAGGGGAATTTTTGTAATAAAATGTTATTCTTGGCCGGGTGTGGTAGCTCACTCCTGTAATCCCAGCACTTTGGGAGGCTGAGGCAGGCATATCACCTGAGGTTGGGTGTTTGAGACCAGCCTGGCCAACATGGTGAAACCCCGTCTCTACTAAAAATACAAAAATTAGCCGGGCATGGTGGTGCACGTCTATAATCCCAGTCACGAGGCTGAGACACAAAAATTGGTTGAACCCCGGAGGCAGAGGTTGCAGTGAGCCAAGATCGTACCACTGGACCCCAACCTGGGTGACAGAGCAACACTCTCTCTCCAAAAAAAAAAAAATGTTTCTTGTCTGCAAGCAAGAAACATTTTAGTAATCTGGGTGGTAGAACTGCAAGTAACTTAAAACTATTAGCCCCCTAGCTTATATTAGCTTAAAACTTCACTAGTGTAAAGAGCTGGATGTCTAACTTTTGTCAAGTTCTACTTAGGCAGTATTTCACAGATGGGGTGCAACAAATTCACATTTCATGTCATGAAATATACCCTATATTCGTTTCCTAGGGATACTATAATAAAGTATCACAAACTGGGTGACTTAAAACAGCAGAACTTATTCTCTCATGTTTTTGAGGCTAGAAGGCTGAAATCAAGGTGTCAGTGCCCTGTTCTCTCTGAAGCCAGTTGGGGAGAATCCTTGTTTCTCGTAGCTTCTGCTGGTTGCCAGCAATCCTTGACGTTCTGTGGCTTGCAAACGTGTCATTTCAACCTCTACCTTCACCTTTATATGGACTGCTGTGTGTTAGTAACTTCACACCATCTTCCCTCTGTGTGTCTGTGTCCAAATTTCCCTCTTATAAGGACACTAGTCATTGGATTAGGGCCCGCCCTAATGTCATCATCTTAACTTGATTACATCAGCAAAGATGCCCCACCACCTCTCCATTTATTTATTTATTTATTTATTTATTTATTTAGAGACAGAGTCTCGCTCTGTCGCCCAGGCTGGAGTACAGTGGCATGATCTTGGATCACTGCAACCTCCACCTCCCGGGTTCAAGCGATTCTCCTGCCTCAGCCTCCTGAATATCTGGGACTACAGGCATGTGCCACCATGCCCAGCTAATTTTTCTATGTTTAGTAGAGACGGGGTTTCACCATGTTGGCCAGGCTGATCTTGAACTCCTGTCCTCAGGTGATATACCCGCCTCGGCCTCCCAAAGTGCTGGGATTACAGGCGTGAGCCACTGTGCCTGGCTTCCTCCCCATTGAGGAATATGATCATGTTCACAGGTTCTGGGGGTACCTGAACTTGAACACGTATTTTTGGGGAACACTATTCAACCCACAACACACACTTTCTGATTTCTCTTGTGTAATGATTAGATCAGTAGTTCCCATCTTGGGGCTCTTGAGATTTTAAGTCCCTGCCATGTCCCTTATTAGACCAGATTTTTTGATATGTTACTAAGTCATCCTGAGCCTCTTTATGTACAAACTCAATGTTTGTGTGGTTGATGGTCTACATATGGCAAGTGTTTGTCAATAGATTTGGTCCATAGTAAATGTTCACTAAGAGGAACAGGCAGTATTCAGGAACATATGTTCTGTATTAAACAGCCTAGGTTGAAATGTTGACTCCTCTTATTTGCTGTGTGATCTCACCCAAGTTCCTGAATTTTGCTGTGCCTTGGTTTTGTTATGTAACTCCTGGAAGTGTGAGGATGGCCACATGAGTTAATACATGAAAACGTCTTAGCAAATGCTTGGGACACATTAAAAACTCAGTAACTGTTAGCTACTATTACCTTCAAATATAACCAAGTGACAAAAGGGGAGTACCATTAACCCTCAGAAAATCAGATTAATATTCTAGCTTTGTGACCTGTACAAAGTACTTAATTTCCCAGTTTTAGTGCCTTTGTCTGTGAAATAATACTTAACTTTTATGGCTATGATGATAAAGTGAGAAAATGCATGCCAAGTGCCTAACATAAAATCAATACTAAGAAATGGTAGCTATTATTAGTAATAAAGAATTTTGCAAAAATTTCCCTTTAAATCCTAGGCGTTAGTCATATTGAATTACTTGTAGTTTCTCAAACATGTTCTCATTTTCATGTGTACCTGCTGTCTTGCTTTGCGACTCCAGTGTGTTCTTCACTTGACTGGCTCCTACTAGTTCTTCAAGATGCAGGTGTTTCCTTCCCTGGAAAACATTTCCTAAAGTCTGGGGACATGTTTTCTGTTTTCCTCTATTATTGTACTTCTTATACTCTCTTTCTATTGACCTATTTTCTTCCACTATAAGACACTTTCTTCTTGTGTGATTTTCAGAAAAGCTACTGAAAGTCTTGGTTTCCTCATCTGTGAAACAGGGTTGTAAAAGTTAAATGGGATGCACTTGGCACTTAGGCCAATGTCTAGCACTTTCCCCAGTGCCAATAACATAATTGGCAGTCAACAGGTGTTTACTTATGAAATTAAAATGATTTACGTATTTTATTCAATCTAAAAAAAATCAGAATGTGTAGGCCATACATAGGAGGGCATCCCCCCAAACTCTGATGTTAAGTGAATAAAATCAATGTCATAAAGCAGAATGGTGGTTGCCAGAGGTTGTAGAAAAGAGGGAATAGACAGTTATTGTTTAATGAATACAGTTTCAATTGTATAAGATGAAAATAATTCTGAAGATGGATGGTGGTGATGGTTATACAACATTATGAACATATTTAATATACTGAACTGTACACTTAAAATAGTTATGACAAATTTTATTGTATATACTGTACCACATTGAAAAAAAAATCAACATCATGAATGAAATTAAAACAAAGGTCATTTTAAGAGAATATTTCTCAGGCCAGGAAAGACCTGGCTGTAGCCTAATTAGTAGTGATATTAACAGTAGGGGACTGGTCAGCATGGAAACACACACAAAAAAGAGAGTCACGTTGCCAGGGGAGATGATCAATCTGGGGACTAGATAATTCCAGTCACTTGAAATAATTTTGTTACAAAGCAGGGGTGGTTTATCAACTTCACCATGGCCTAAAAGAAATACGCTCGTGCATAAACCTCGGAACAGGTGATGTGGTGTGCAGAGTGCTTTGGCTTTGCTGTTCAGAGAGAACAACACTGGAAAACAGGTGGGTGTAGGTGTTGTCAATGAAAAGAAAGATTATCCTTTGTAAATTAATGAGATGGTATCCTGATTTATGCAAATGTCCCTTCTGTTCTGGCTCTGTGTATTAGGAGTAAGTTTCCTTTTCTCTGATCAACTCAAGATTGACTTTATAGGTATGAAAAATCCAAAGCAAAACCCTCAACAATCATGACCTACCAATAAATGAAATGACAGGTTAGGAATCCTTCTGGTTAGCATGTTATCACTTTTCCTCCCCCAAAACCACAACAGGGTAAAATTCATCGGTAAGCAGCAAAAAAAAATACATAAACACTATAAACATTTTTTAGAGACTTTAAGTCATTTTTTCAAAGGAATAATAGTAACAAAAAAAGAGCTCATAAAAAGGATTCTGAGTATAGGGAATATAATTTTAATATTCCATACTACTTATTTTTCAAAGAATATATTCAAGACTTTGAAAGTGGAATCAGAAACGGAAAAAAGACCAAAAAGAAAAAAGAGATAGTGCCAAAAAGAAAAAAGAGACAGTGAAGAGAATCCAGAAATAATTTGGTGGCAGGTTTTTGTTTTATTTACTTATTTTTGAGACAGAGTCTTGCTGTGTTGCCCAGGCTGGTGTGCAGTGGCAAGATCTCACTCACTGCAACCTCTGCCTCCCAGGCTCAAGCGATTCTCATGCCTCAGCCTCCTGAGTAGCTGAGATTATACGTGTGTGCCATCATGCCTGGCTAATTTTTATATTTTTAGTAGAGACGGGGTTTTGCCATATTGGCCAGGCTGGTCTTGAACTCCTAGGCTCAAGTGATTTGCCCACCTTGGCAAAAAAGTGCTGGGATTACAGGCGTGTGCCACCGCGCCCAGCCCTGAAGCAGGCTTTTAAATAAGATTGTATGGGCCGGGCGTGGTGGCTCAAGCCTGTAATCCCAGCACTTTGGGAGGCCGAGACAGGCGGATCACGAGGTCGGGAGATCGAGACCATCCTGGCTAACACGGTGAAACCCCGTTTCTACTAAAAATACAAAAAATTAGCCGGGTGCGGTGGCAGGCGCCTGTAGTCCTAGCTATACGGGAGGCTGAGGCAGGAGAATGGCGTGAACCCGGGAGGTGGAGCTTGCAGTGAGCCGAGATTGCGCCACTGCACTCCAGCCTGGGCGACACAGTGAGACTCCATCTCAAAAAAAAAAAAAAAAAAAAGATTGTATGTCCATGAAAATTTCGAGGGAAGAAAAAAACTTCCATCTTGTTGCAAAGATTAAGGCAGTGAAAGGAATCTGAAAAACACTGGATTATAACCAAGCTTGCCTGCTCTTAATGCATTCCAAACTCCTAGTTCCACTTTGCATTTCAATGTAGACACATAACAATGTTGGTGACAAAGTAACATCGGACAATCCATGATAATTCTTGGGGGAAGGAAGTCTCTTTTGTGAAATATAGATGGAGTCAAATGCCTTAGGAGAAGTTTTGGTCAAAGCGTGGTCCTCTACATGAGACTCCAGAAGAAATCATTCGGCTCCTTCTACTGCTGTGGTGGAAACAGGTTTCACATAGTATGGACCTTCACTCAGGTAAGTTCTGAGCCTCAAATAATTTGGGTTCCCAAAGATTTCTGCAATTGTCTTGGAATTGGCAAGTGCTTTCACTAGTTCATATTTGGCATCCTTTGAAGCTTTGTCATGCTCCACAGACCGGTCCACCACATATTCTACAAAACCTGGACTGTTAAACATAAGTTTCTGAGCCCAGGGTTGGTTTGCAATGGCCTGAAATGGAAGGCAGAAAGAATACAATTCCCCTGAGTCAAAGTTAAGTTTGTTAGTGGGATGACACAATATTTACAAAGAAATCTGGCAACATGAACTTTAAAAACGTTACCTTTTGTCTAAGTAAATTCCTTCCTGAGAATCTAACTTAATAATCTTAAATACAAAAAATCTTTGTATACAAAAATGTTCATAATAGTGTGAAAGTTATAATATAAATATCTAATAATGGGAGAATGGTTAAGTAAATTATGGTATATAGAAATAAAAAATAAACATTAACAGTGTTTACAAAGAATAGGAAATGACATAGGTAAACCTTTTTAAAAATTCTACTTCTAAGTCTTTTTCAAATTTTAAGATTAAGTTTTTCAAAACCTGTTACATTTTAATGAAAAAGAAGTAACCATCAAGTTTATGGTCTAGTTTTTTCCTCTCAAAATGCATTCCACAGACAAGTAGCATCACCATCACCTGCGAGCTTGTTAGACATTCAGGATTCCGGGCTCTGCCCCACAACTCCTGAATTAGAACCTACATTTTAATAGGATTCCTAAGACAAATGTTTGAGAAACTTTGGCCTGCCTCACAACCAAGCATGAAGGTAGGCAGAAATAAAAATAGTTATCCCAACCAGAAAATAGAAAATTATTTCTACAATGGAATAAGCACAGGATAAGGCAGAAGAGCAAAACCAAAATAAACCAATAATGAAAATACTAAGCAGGAGCCAAAATGGCCATCTCATACAAGGACTATTTACAAGGGTGAAGCAGTCTTAAAAAAATGTTTCTGGTCAGGTGCGGTGGCTCACGCCTGTAATCCCAGCACTTTGGGAGGCTGAGGCGGGCGGATCATGAGGTCAGGAGATCAAGACCATCCTGGCTAACACAGTGAAACCCCGTCTCTACTAAAAATACAAAAAGAAATCAGCCGGGCGTAGTGGCGGGTGCCTGTAGTCCCAGCTGCTCGGGAGGCTGAGGCAGAAGAATGGCGTGAACCCGGGAGGTGGAGCTTGCAGTGAGCCAAGATCATGCCACTATACTCCAGCCTGGGTGACACAGCGAGAGACTCCATCTCAGGAAAAAAAAAGAAATGTTTCTGAAGATTATAGGAATACCTGTATCCTTCAAGACCCAGATCCTGTATCGCATCCTCAGGAAGCCTTCCCTCTTTTGTCCCTGCCATTCTCCTTATTCCCTCCCAGTCTAGGCCATGTATGCTGTCTGAGATCCCATTATTGATAAGATTACTAAAGTGATTACTACCTTTCTATGCTGTGGCTACAAAGATAAATCAGATATGCTTCCTGCTGTCAACCAACTCTACTTAATAGGTGAGACAGGTCAATAAATACACATTTGCAAAATAATATAACAAATAGAACACAAAGGTATAATCCTTACCACAGCTGTAGTAATGTAAGTAACTGTACAATTATATTTACTGCCTCGCTCCTTCAATAGGCAGGAAACTACATGAAAGGAAGGTCTTTATATATTTTCTTCACTGTTGTATGCCCTTCACTGAGCAAAAACGGAAACTCAACAAATGTTTGCTGAATAAATAAATGCAACATATGAGAGCCAACATTGTTTAACTCAACCTTGTCAATCTGGGCAAAGTGTGCTGAAGACATACCGGAGTTAGTCCTTGACGAATGAGCAAGAGGTTAAGAAGCAAAGTTAAGGAAGAGTGTTAGATACAGAGACCCCAGCAAAGGTTCAGAGATACGAACAGTTTGGTACCACTGGAGCATTAGGTGCCAGAAGTCTTATTTTCTATGGGGGAAATAAGGATTAGGAAGACCAGGGTTAGGTCAATAGAGGATGGCAGATAAAAAGTCTGGAATTAACTGTGTTATCCCATAGCATCCTGTTCAAACCTTAAACAGCACCTAGTATCTTTTACTGAAACAATATGTTTACACATCTATCTCCCTCCTTAGTCTCTAAGGTAGCAGAAGGTAGAAACTATACCATGCACTTGTGCATCCCCAGAGATGGCACAGGCTCTGGCTCACTGTAAGTACTCAAGCGTTGAACTGGCAGGCTCCCAGAAGGACCTATGGAAGTGAATACCTACCGTAAACACTTTTAAGGCAGCACAGTGTAGTTCAGGGAAGGGTTGACTACTAATGCCACGGAAGAGCTCCAGTGGATCCCGAGATAAAGCAGAAAACCAGGATTCTGTCATCCTCAGAAGGTCATCAGTCTGCTGCTCAGGCTACAGGAAAGAAAAGGAAAATCTCATCACAAAGTTAACTGATCTGGAGAAAAGCACTTATTTGGAAGTCAGACACCTGAGTACTAATGGCACTCTGTCATTAATTTGTTGTGTGATATTGGCTAAGTTTGGAGGACTCTTTCTCAAATCCAGCCCAGACCTTTCCCAGTTTTCTCTGAATGTGGTTGATAAAGCAATCTCTAGAGTCTCTTCAGTTCTAACACTCTATGATTCCATTTTAAATTAAAAATGTCACTAATCATACGAGGGTTATCTCCTTGTATTAAGAGAAAAATGGCATTTACTTCATCACATTTATCATGTTGATTCATACAGATTTATTTTCCCAAACATATCCCACTGTCCTTCATTAATTTCCCAATCTACTTACTGGTAAGTACAGAAGAGATGAAATTGCATCCAAACATCTAATTTTTAGCTCCACTGGGGCATTCTTTGATTGATGTCCTATTCTCACAAGCAAGCGTTCAAAGCGAGTTCCTTTGAAGGGTAACAGTGAGATTCTTCTTTATTATGGTAAAATATACACAACATAAAATTTACCATTTTAATCATTTTTAGTGTATAGTTCAGTGCTATTAAGTACATTCACATTGTTGTGCAACCATCATAACCATCCTAGAACTTTTTCGTCAACCCAAACTGAAACTCTGTATCCATTAAACAATAATTTCCTTTCTTCTCTACCCTCATCCCCTGCCAACCACTATTCTACCTCCTGTGAACTGGACTCTTTTAGGTATCTCATCTAAGTGGAATTGTACAATATCTGTCCTTATGTGTCTGGCTTACTTCACTTAGCATAATGTTATCAATGGTGCAGATTCCTCCATGCTGTAGCATGTGCCAGAATCTCATTCTTTTTAAAGGCTGAGTAATATTCCATTGTATGTATATACCACATTTTGTTTATTGATTCATCTATCAATATTCATTGGGTTGCTTGCACCTTTTTTTGGTTGTTGTGAATCAAATGCTGCTACGAACATGAGTGTACAAACATTTGTTTGAGTCTCTGCTTTCAATTTTTTTTGGTATATACCTGAAAGTGTAGCTGTTGGAGGAAGGAAATGTAAAATGCACAAAGGTTACAATTTCTCCACATCCTAACACTTACTATTTTATGGTTTTTTTTTTTTTTAAAGTAATAGCCATCCTAATGGATCTGAAGTGAAAAATGAGATTTTTTTTTAAAGTATGCTCTCATACACTATGACCTCTACCAACCTAAACCAATACAAAAATAAGCATGTAGTCAGAGAACCAGTGACAGGCCTAGAACACACAATTACACACAACACAGCATATATAAGGCAGAGTTATAAAACTGGAATCAAAGGACCTGGATTTGAGTAGCAGCTGCCCTAATTTGTATGACCTTAGAAATTTTCTTAACTCCTCTAAGTTTCATCTACCTTATCTGGAAAATGAAAATGACAATAGTATGTTCTTTACAGGATTGTAAAAAGATTGTCCTAGGTAAAAGCACTTAGAAAACTACATACAACAAAAATATCAGCCGTGATACACAACAGTGTATTTTCTTTTTCTATTCTCTAATTTTTAGTTTTTTGAGATGGAGTCTCGCTGTGTCGCCCAGGCTGGAGTGCAATGGTGCGATCTCGGCTCACTGCCCAGGTTCAAGCGATTCTCCTGCCTCAACCTCCTGAGTAGCTGGGATTACAGGTGCCTGCCACCACACCCAGCTAATTTTTGTATTTTTAGTAGAGACTGTTGGCCAGGCTGGTCTCGAACTCTTGACCTCAGGCGATCCACCCGCCTTGGCCTCCCAAAGTGTTGGGATTACAGGCATGAGCCACCTCGCCTGGCCTCTTTTTAAATTTTTTTTGAGATGGAGTCTTACTCTGTCACCTAGGCTGCAGTGCAATGGAGTGATCAAGGCTCACTGCAGCCTTCATCTCCTGGGCTCAAATGATTCTTCCACCTCAGTCTCCCGAGTGGCTGGGACTATAGGCATGTGCCACCACACCTGGCCAATTTTTTTGTTGTTGTTGCCAAGGCTAGTCTTGAATTCCTGGGCTCAAGCAATCCTCCCCTCTTGGCCTCCTAAAGTGCTGGGATTACAGGTGAGATAATTTTCAACATATGTGTCTCAAGAATTTTAGTAATTGGGCTGCATATTATTTTGTGTGTATAATTTGTTGTGCTGTTGATTCTCATGGATGTTCCATAAAAGTATCTTTCTTTTTTTTTTTTCTTTCTTTTTACAGAGTCTCGCACTGTCACCCAGGCTGGAGTGCAGTGGTATGATCTTGGCTCACTGCAACCTTTGCCTTCTGGGTTCAAGCCATTCTCCTGCCTCAGCCTCCCGAGTAGCTGGGACTGCAGGCATGCACCACCATGCTCAGCTGATTTTTGTATTTTTAGTAGAGATGGGGTTTCACCATGTTGGCCAGGCTGGTCTCGAACTCCTGACCTTAAGTGATCCACCTGCTCTGGCCTCCCAAAATGCTGGGATTACAGGCATGAGTCACCTTGCCTGGCCTCTTTTTTTTTTGAGATAGAATCTCACTCTGTCACCCAGGCTGGAGTGTAGTGGCACGATCTCAGCTCACTGCAACCTCCACCTGCCAGGTTCAAGCGATTCTCCTGCCTCAGCCTCTCAAGTAGCTGGGACTACAGTTGCACAGTACCATGCCTGACTAATTTTTGTATTCTTGAGTAGAGACAGGATTTTGCCATGTTGCCCAGCCTGGTCTTGAACTCCTGAGCTCAGGCAATCCACCCACCTTGGCCTCCCAAAGTGCTGGATTACAGGCATGAGCTACTGTATCTCATAACACGCCAAAAGTATCTCTTAACATGAAATCATATAACAAACTTTTATTTTCCTTTCTTGACATTACAAAAAAACCCAAAATTTTGTAAATACTCCCAACAACCCTGAGAAGTAGTTGTTATGCCATTTTTATAAATGAAGAAAATGAGGCCTAGAAAAGCAAAGTGAGTAAATGAAGTTCAAAAAGCGAAGTCAGGGCTGGACACAATGGTGTGGACCTGCAGACCCAGCCAATCAAGAGGATGAGGCAGGAGGATTGCTTGAGCCTGGGAGTTTGAGGCCAGCCTGTATAACAGAGAGACACTCCCAATCTGAAAGAAAGAAAAGAAAGAAAGAAATAGAAAACCCAAGGACATGAATTCAGGCCTTTTTGATTCTAGCCCATCATCTGTACCATGAAATCTAGTCAAAGAAGACACAGAGGGGAAACAGGAAACAATGTTTGGTTGAAATAGATTGGTAGAAACTTAAACAGTGAAAAGTCAAAAAAAAAAAAAAAGGTTTTCCATAGTAATTATTAGACTTTCAGATATGAGTCCAAGGTTATGGTTAACAAGACTGCCACCCATAAAATAGTTTCTACAATGTAGTTAACCCACCAGCAAATGAACTTACACATTGAACCCCTGTCAAAAATTAAGATATCCCTGAACAGGGCCAAGTCATACCAACCTGTTTTCTGTAAAACCTGTTTTCCTTCAACATTGGATCCCAAGATTCCAACTGTGTCTACAGCTACACCAGTCATAGTGGGGTCCTGACTTTCTGTCATTTCAAAGACTTTTTCCACAAAGATAGGATAACGCTCACAGATCTGTTGAGGACTATCCATGACAGCCAGGTTTCCAAAAAACTTCACGAATCCTAAAGAGATTTACAAGAATATATTTTAATAGGGGAACAAGACAGCATGAATTGTGGGCCCTATAACTTCACAGGAATAGAAATGAACTGCAGGCCAGAAAGCGTAGAAAGGTTACAGTAGTGTGTTGCTTGGAGATCAGAGAGACCACTAGGAGATTCTGAAGGACCTGTGATGTGTGATCCTGAGAGAGAGTGTCAATGGAGCTGGGACCAGCTATTGAAGTACTGGCATATGCAAGAGGGAGAACAAAGAAAAAGGACCAGTGGATACAAATTATAGGAAGGCAAGTTTAGACTCATTACCAGGAAGAAATTTTTAAGTGGATATGTTCATTAATAAATGAAATAGGTAGCTAGGTAGCTAGGCCACCTAAGGAAGGCATACATCTCCAATTTCTGGAAGTGTTCAAGAAAGACTAATTAACCAAGACCCAGAATAGAATGGCAAGAGTAGATCCTACAATAAAGATTCCCACTCAGAGACTTGATTAATCTGTGAAACATACTGTAAATGTCATTACTAGTATTTTTATTTTTTTGTTGATATTCAAAAGAAAAATTTCCTAATGTTCTAAATAGCACTGATGTTTCCTGAAAATCAAAGTCAACAGTACATAGCTCCCAGAGCAACAGATTCCACCTCAGTAAGAGGCTACAGGTATCTTTTTAATAAAATTAACTTTTAACTGACAAATTAAAAAATCATATATCTTTATTGTGAACAATGTATTCTGAAATACGCGTATTTTTAATTTTTTTTCTGCTTTCGTGAAAAATGTCATTAAATTTAAGAATTTTGGTGGGGAATGCACTGAATCTATATGGTGCTTTGGCAGCACCAACATTTTAATAATATTAATTCTTCCAATCCATGAACATAGGATACCTTTCCATTTATTTGTGTCTTCTTCAATTTCCTTCATCAGTTTTTATAGTTCTCACTGTATAGATCTTTCACCTCCTTAAATTTATTCATAAATATTTAATTTTTTTGAATGCTATTGTAAATGGGAATGTATCTTTTATTACTTTTTCAGAGTTCACTGTTAGTGTATAGAAATGCTACTGATTTTTATGCACTGATTTTGTATCCTGCAGTTTTACTGAATTTATTTATTCATTCTAACAGTTTTTTGGTGGAATCTTTATTCTATATATTAATATAACACTACATCATTTACACATAGGGACATTTTCACTTCTTTCTTTCTGATTTGGATGCCTTTTTTTTTTTTTTATCTTGCCTAATTGCTCTGGCTATAACTTCTTGTAATTTGTTGAATAGAAGTGGTAATTGTGGACATCCTTGTCTTGTTCCTTTTTTTTTTTTTTTTTTTGAGATGGAGTCTCACTCTGTCGCCCAGGCTGGAATGCAGTAGAGCGATCTTGGCTCACTGCAATCTCTACCTCCAATGTTCAAGGGATTCTCCTGCCTCAGCCTCCTGAGTAGCTGGGACTACAGGCGTGTGCCACCATGCCCAGCTAATTTTTTTGTATTGTTAGTAGAGACGGGGTTTCACTGTGTTAGCCAGGATGGTCTTGATCTCCTGACCTTGTGATCCATTACAGGCGTGAGCCACCACGCCTGGCCTTGTTCCTGATCTTAGAGGAACGCTTTCAACTTTTCACTGAGTATGTTAGCTGTGGGTTTGTCATACTTGGCCTTTATTGTGTTGAGATAGATTTCTTCTATACTTAATTTGTTAAGAGTTTTTATTATAAAAGAAAGCTAAAATTTGTCAAACGCTTTTCCCCGCATTACTTGGTTTCCATCTTTATTCTGTCAATGTAGTATATCTTATTTATTGATTTGTGTATGCTGAACCCTCCCTGCATCCCTAGGATAAATCCCACTTGATCAGGGTGGATGACCTTTTTAATGTGCTGTTGAATTTGAATTTGGTAGCTCTAGATATCTTCTAAAGGAAATCAGCTCTAAGGAAAACAATCCCTGTCCACTCCCAACCCCAACCCCCTGCCGTCAGAGATAACTCAGAAATAAAACATGCACCATCATTTCCATAGGAATCAGTGTTTCTTACCTGGCAAATAGAAGCTAGAGAAAGGGTCTGAATCTGCCCCAACGATTATATTAGAAATTTGGTCAATTACTCCTTCTTGAGCAAGATACTGTCGTCCATGATGAGTATATGCCAGTGATGTCACCATTTCTATACAGGTGGCTCTAAAATGTCAGAAGGACAAAAACAAGATTTTTGCACAGGATTTGCATAGTTTATAGATTGCTCTCATATAGGTTATCTTATTTAATTCTTCCCATCATATTTGAAAGGTCAATAATCTTGGCTCCTCTTTTCACATGAGGCCCTAAGGCCTAGAAAGTTGCAGTGACTTATCTGTAATCACACTGTTATTACAGACAGAGTTTAGATTTAAATCTAGACCTTCTGATTTGAAGTCCACTATTGTTTCCACTATAACCTAGCTGCTTCCTAAAATATTTTTTTAAATTTTGTTTTATTTTGAAATATCAAACATACACAAAAGTAATGAGAATACAATAAGCCCCCATATACCCATAACCTGATTTTATGGTTATGAGGATTTTGCTTTACTTATTTCATCTCTTTTCCCTACTTTTTGCTGAACTATTTTAAAGCAAATCCTAGTCACCCTGCCATTTACCCCTGCGTACTTTAGTATGCATCTCTGCAAAACACGTATGTTTCCTCACACAATTATAATGCCACTGCCACATATTAAGAAATTAACAATAATTCTTTGGTATCATCTCATATCCAACCCTGATCAAAGAAAATAACTAAAAAATTTATTTTTACAGTTGGTAATTGATCCTAAAGTGTTTTGACTGACCATTTATAGGGTTTTTTCCTATGTCACAAAATTTGATACAATGCTAAAAAATAATTAACAAAATTAATTGTCTCATTAGGTTGAGACACTCAAATGCAATGAAGCAATGTAACTAGTGACTGATTTACTATATGGGTTTAATAAATTCAGCCATGTTTAAAGAACACAGGACAATCAGAAAATCATTTAAGATAAGAAAAATCAAAACCTATATATACAAAGATAACTATAATGCTATCATAACAGCAAAATACTTGAAGCAAATCAACTGTTCAACAGTGAGGAGGTATTAATAAGCTGTGGAATATCAAAAAAGGAACATTTGGCAGATATTAAAGGGGATTTAGGGAATGGGGGAATAAAGGGTGGAAGAAACTGGAATTAACATTTCTTTGAGAACCTATGTCAGCCATTGTACTGCTTTCTAAGGTCAATTAGCTTAATTCTTACAACATCTTTTTATTTATTTATTTTTTTGAGACGGAGTTTTGCTCTTGTTGCCCAGGCTGGAGTGCAATGGCGCGATCTTGGCTCACTACAACCTCCACCTCCCAGGTTTAAGCAATTCTCTTGTCTCAGCCTTCCCGGTAGCTGGGATTACGGGCCCCTGCCACCACGCCCGGCTAATTTTTTGTATTTTTTTTAGTAGAGACGGGGTTTCACCATATTGGCCAGGCTGGTCCTGAACTCCTGACCTCAGGTAATCCACCCGCCTCAGCTTCCCAAAGTGCTGGGATTACAGGTGTAAGCCACTGTGCCCGGCACAATATCTTTTTCAGTTACTGTTCTGAGAGATGAGGAAACTGAGATGTAGAAAGCTTATAATAACCTGTCCAAGGCCAAACAGCTAATAAATAGTAGAGAGGTATGCAAGCCAAGTCTTCCTCATTTTGAAAAGCCCATATTCTTTTTTCTTTTGAGACAGAGTCTTGCTCTGTTGCCCAGGCTGGAATATAGTGGTACAACCTCTACCTCCCAGGTTCAAGCAATTCTCCTGCCTCAGCCTCCCGAGTAGCTGGGACTACAGGTGCCTGCCACCATGCCCGGTTAATTTTTGTGTTTTTAGTAGGGACAGGGTTTCACAATGTTGGCCAGGCTGGTCTTGAACTCCTGATCTCGTGATTCGCCCGCCTCGGCCTCCCAATGTGCTGGGATTATAGGCATAAGCCACCACACCCGGCCTAGCCCGTATTTTTTCTATCATGCTATACTGTTGCTATTTAACAATGCCAAAATAAATGCATATGACAAACTATTAGTAATTCAAAATGGCAGTTACCATGTGATTGCAACTGTTTAAGAGCACACAGGACTAGGGACAGGGAACACAGTCACTTGAAAGTAGCTGAATTGTCATGTGGGGCTTTGCCAAGTTCCAGTATGTTGTCATGATGTAACTTGAGCAATTTTCTAAAGGTCCCTCCTTCAGGACACACATCAGTCATGAGATTGTAACCTGGGCAAAGTCTCTAATAGAGAAAATCACAGACGTCCCAGGGTTGTTTCCCAGCCCTTCAAAAGAGGACATTTCACTTTAAGAACTCTCAGTCAACACACCTGACCAACACATCCTCACCAGTCAGCTCTCTCAGGAGCTGGGTTACCAATCCACTTGTGGTACAGTAGTTTAAAGATTCTGGTGACACAGAAGAAATCTCTACAATTAGCTGAAATAAAAAAAAAAAAACAGAAAAAGAAAAAGGTCAAAACAGCCCTACGCCTGATAGATCTCATTTTAAGTTAAACATAGGACTAGGTACTTTCTATAAACGAGTTTTAAAAAATCTATTATTTAAGTAGAAAAACTTCAATGAACACATAAGAAATTACTTTGGCACAGATTATTATTATTTTTGAAACAGAGTCTTGCTCTGTCACCTAGGCTGGAGTACAGTGGCGTGATCTCAGCTCACTGCAACCTCTGCCTCCCGGGTTCAAGCGATTCTCGTGCCTCAGCCTCCCGAGTAGCTGGGATTACAGGCACATACCACCACACCTGGCTAATTTTTTTGTATTTTTAGTAGCGATGGGGTTTTGCCATGTTGGCCAGGCTGGTCTTGAACTCCTGGCCTCAAGTGATCTGCCCACCGTGGCCTCCTGAAGTGCTGAGATTATAGGCATGAGCCACCATGCCTAGCCACCTTGGCACAGAAATGTTCCATTATATCTGGAACATTTATATACTTTCCTGCCCAAGCAATCATCAATCAAGGTACAAAAGCCTCAATCAGCCACAACAAACGGATTATAAAACCATTCACTCATTCAGGCATTCTGTCAGTCAGTCACTCAGTCAGTCAATCATTCACTTACTCGTTCAGCAAGTATTTGCTGAGGTCTTACTGAAAGGTATAGGAAGATACTGAAGGGTTTTAAGCAGAGAAATGACACAATCAGATTTGGACTTTTTTTTTTCTTTTGAGACAGAGTCTCGCTCTATCGCCCAGGCTGGAGTGCAGTGGCGATATCTAGATTTGGACTTTTAAAAGACCATTCTGATTGCATGTGAAGATAGACTAGGGATGATAAAAACGGATGAGTGGAGACCAGTTTGGATGCAAATATAGTAGCCCAGGTGAGTGACACCAGTAAGTTAGTCTAGGGTGGTAGAAGCTGCACTAATGAAGAAAAATGCATGGGTTTAAATAAAATCGACACAATGTGATGACCAAATGGATATGTGGCAGGGAAAAACAGGCCTCAGAATGAGCCAAGGTCTAATACCCAACTAAGCAAACTGTTGAGACAGGGCCAATTCGTTGCTCTTGTTTTTTATTAGGGGGATAGGGTGGATAAGGAAGATCAGGAATTTGATTTCAGCATGAGTGTGAGGGACCTAGAATATACCCAAGGGGCCAAGAATGAGTAAGCCGTTAAGCATGAAGGTTTGAGCTCAGAAGAAAGGTCTCAGTTGTAAGTTTACATCTGAGAGTCATCATCACAGATGGGAAGTGAAATCATATGATGAGTAAAACTGCCTAGGAATGAGTATAGAGTACAGTGAAAGCAGGGCTTGGAACTCTGTTTTCACGAACTCCAACAATTAAAGATTCAATGGAGGATAATGAGCCAGGAGGCTGAGAAGAAACTGAGAGGCGGAAGGAAAAGCAGCATAATATGGTATGACATGCAAAGAAAGTGTTCTGAAGAGGGAATTAAGACTGCAGAGGATTCCACTTCAAATATGCACCCTATTAATAGTGTGTGGCCTTGGATCAATTGCTCCATCAATATGAGATTAATGATAACAATATACAAAGTTTACTGCAAGAATTAAAGATAATATATGTCAGTATTTTAGCATAGGGCTTAGTACAAAACTGGTACAAATAAGGGCCATTTCTTCTTATTACTACTACAAATTTTTTCAAGTCTGGTTTCATTATCTTCTGTATCATAGTAATTATACTGCACTATAAATATATATATATTTAGAAAGGGTCTTGCTCTGTTGCCCAGGCTGGAGTGCAGTGGTGCAACCACGGCTCACTGCTGCTTCAACTTTCTGGGCTCAGTTGATCCTCCCACTTCAACCTCCTGAGTAGCTGGGACGACGTGCACATACCACCATGCACAACTAATTTTTAAAATCTTTGTAGAGATGGGGTCTCGCTATGTTGCCCAGGCTGGTCTGAAACTCCTGGCCTCAAGGGGTCCTCCTGCCCTTGCCTCCCATAGAGCTGGGCTGTATATGCCTGTCTCATATACTAGGCTGGGAATGCATCCTTATATTCCCAGCACCTACTGCAAAGCCAAACACAGATTATATACTCAGTGAGCCATCTTGCTTTCCAGCATAAGCCAAACTGCATTCTGCTTTGTAAGCATGAGAAAGTATGCTTTTTATCTTACCTCATACACCCTGTATCGAACAATGTCATTTGTTTTCATTACACTTTTCAAATCATCCAGCAGATTGCTTTCAAATAAAGCCTCCAGTCCAGCTTGGGTTAGTGATATTCTTGACAGGGATTTGATGGCCTTATAAAGAAAGAAAATATCTCTTATGTCCCCAAAATACAGAATATTATTATCTACTTCATAAGACTGATGTGAAAATAGCACACGGAATGCACCTTGCCCAATGAGCATTCACTATGTTTCAGCTATTATTTATAATTGGAAAAGACACAAGGTGTCCCCCATAGACTTATGATGGATACTGCAGATATTTATATCCTAGAAAATAAAAGGGATTTACTAGTATTTACTTGACAACCATTTATTTTATACAATTCATATGAGGTTGTAAATTCCATTACACAAATCATCCATTCTAAACCTTCACCTCTCAATTCAGAAGGCCTTTCTTTATCTTTTGGGACACCAATGTCTCTGCACATTTAAGTCAATGATTCTAATAGACTCACCGCTTTTGCTACAGATAGATTCTCTCCACCGATGCAATAAACAATTTGTTTTAGTAATTCAGCATTATTTAGAATCTCAGTAACGGCATCAGAATTTTCAACAATTCTTCCAATCTGAAAGAAAAACAATCAGAAACACTCTTCTAAAGTAGGGCAACATACAGTAAACACACAATGGTCCAATTTCCTTACTGCACAGTTATTTTAGGAGTTAGTGATCACAGCTATATATCAAGTCATTAAAAAATCAAAATGACCTAAATTCATTCAGTCAAACACACATATGGCATAGTCACATCTGTTAAAGGAAAGAAAAGAAAGCGGGTAAAGAGGTAAGATAGCTCAGTGAGTGAAAACAATACAAACCCAGCTCTATTTTTAGCTACACTGACCTTGCACAAATTTTAGCCCCGTTTCTTATCCGTAAAATGGGAACACAATATTTAATTCCAGGATAGTTACGAAGATTAAATGAGACCGAATAGGCAAAGCACCTGCTACAGTGTCCGGCATATAAATGGCCAGTGAATAAACTGGTATCTTCTCCCCTTCCCCAAACTTTTTCTTTTTCTTTTTTTTTTTTTTTTGAGATGGAGTCTCGCTTTGTTGCCCAGGCTGGAGAGCAGTGGCACGATTTCGGCTCACTACAACCTCTGCCTCCTGGGTTCAAATGATTCTCCCACCTCTGCTTCCCGAGTAGCTGGGATTATAGGCACCTGTCATCATGCCCAGCTAATTTCTGTATTTGTGTAGAGACAGGGTTTCACCATGTTGGCCAGGCTGGTCTTGAATTCCTGACCTCAGGTGATCTGCCCGCCTTGGCCTCCCAAAGTGCTGGGATTAGAGGGTTTTTTTTTTTTGCTGAATAAACACAGAAAAGGAAAAACAGTAGTTCAGTATCTATTGGGTAACTGTTTAGCTCCTAACATTTCAACAAGATAATCCTTAGCAGCAGCTCTTCACTCAAATAGTAGGATGCTTTGGTTACCAGGATGATAAGAGTTACTGTCTTAATTGTTGGTTTAGTGACCTTTACAATAGCATTTGATTCATCCAGTGTAACAGAATCTAAAATGGCAGAGAGCTATTTGAACACATAGGAATCTTTTTCTTTACACTAGGAGCTCCTTGAAGGAAAGTAACTGGTTTTGTTAATCTTGGTAACTCTAACAGCAAATGGCACCATGCCTGGCATATAAAAGGAACTCAGTCAGTATCTGATTAATGAATGATTTAGATGGTACTTAATGGAACGTCTTTCATTTGCTTGTATCTGGCAGGTTATAGTTAGCTATGCACATTGGAATAGACCACACATTTTCCAGGAGGAGAGAGGGAGCAGGGCAGAGGGAGAGAAGGGAAGAGGGAAGGAGAGAGAGATACTATGCTTTCTTCATCTTTCTGTCCCAGTACAGAACCTGGTCCAGAGCAGGTGGTCAATGTCGGTTCCTAGTAAAATTTCATACCTGGGAAAGGGTGAGGATTTTTACAGAATCATCAGGGTGAATTAGTCCCCTCTGCAGGTCAACCCTGAGGTTCCGGGCCACGTGAACTGGTTCCATAGCTTGCAGCAGTCTCTCCAGAATGGATACACACAAAGCAGTCTTTTCCCTGAGGAGACATCATAAATCTTATTAGTTCATATCCTGCCCAGGTAGGAAGTAACAACCTAATAATAGCTGAAGCTTGGGTCAGCATCTCCTCCACACAGACTTCTTTTTGAAACAGCAGATTTCACTCACCTATTAAACATTTGCAAGAACCTATTATGCGTATTGCCTGTGCTGGGGCTACAAAGAAGAATAAGATATATACTCTAGTCTTTTTTTTTTGAGATGGAGTCTTGCTCTGTTGCCCAGGCTGGAGTGCAATGGCCCGATCTCGGCTCACTGCAACCTCTGCCTCCCAGGTTCAAGCGATTCTCCTGCCTCAGCCTCCCGAGTAGCTGGGATTACAGGGGCCCACTACCATGCCTGGCTAATTTTTGTATGTTTAGAGATGGAGTTTCAGCATGTTGGCCAGGCTGGTCTCGAACTCCTGACCTCAGGTGATCCACCTGCCTCGGCCTCCCAAAATGCTCGGATTACAGGCTTGAGCCACTGCCCCTGGCCTTTTTTTTTTTTTTTTTTGAGACAGAGTCTCGCTCTATTGCCCAGGCTGGAGTGCAGTGGTGCAATCCACTTACTGCAACCTCCACCTCCCGGGTTCAAATGATTCTCCTGCCTCAGCCTCCCCAGTAGCTGGGACTACAGGTGCATGCCACCACACCCAGCTAACTTTTCATATTTTTAGTAGAGACGGAGTTTCACTGTGTTAGCCATGATGGTCTCGATCTCCTGACCTTGTGATTCGCCCACCTCAGCCTCCCAAAGTGCTGGGATTACAGGCATGAGACACTGTGCCTGGCCTGATATATTCTCTAGTCTTAAGGAGCTCAATCCAATGAAAGATATAGAAAAAAAGGCAACTGTAATCCAGATAAATGCTATAGGCTAAGACTAGAAACTATAGGAGCTTAAAAAAGAACAGAGGGTACAAGGAAGGCTTCCCAGAAGGGTAACATCTGAACTAAATTTTAAGAAGTAGGAGTTATCCAGAAGAAAGGTGTTCTAGGTAGAGGGAGTAGCAGCACATAAAAAGGCAGAGAGGATAGTGTTACACTTTGAAGGAACAAGGAGCTTGGTATGACTGGGGTCAGAATAGGAGAGAGGTGGTGAGAAGGTAAAAGGGCGAGGTGAAGGACAAGCACTGAAACTGAAAAGATGCACAGAAGCCAGATTCTAACAGGTATTTTATGTCATGCTTGGAATTTAGACTTTTTCCAGAAAATCACTGGCAAGCCATAAGTGGTTTTAAACAAAGAAGTAAAATGACAAGATCTGATTTATAGAAATCACTCTGCACCAGTGTTAGGGGAAAAATTTTCAATTACAAGGCAGTAAATGGTAAGAGGTGATGAAGGAGTAAACTACGGGAGCAGCAGTAAGGATAGAGAGAAGGAGGAAGAACTATGTAAGAGAACCTGATGACTACCAGTGGTAGATACAGAAGATGTTTTCAGAACAGTTTTCTTGTCTCTTAATAGACACTACAAATAAATGGGCTAATATATTGTTAGTAGTAGTATACAATTCAACTGGTACAACTTTTCGGGTAGGTAACTACATGATACAAATGAAAAGCCTTAAAAATGAATATACTCTTTTAATTCAGGGATTCCACTTTGCATAATTGAATCTAAAATAGTATTAATAATGTTTTTACACTCAAGATAATAGAAAACATGCTATTTTCACAAAACTTGCATACAAATGTTCACAGCAGTGGAAACAATCCAAATGTCCACCAAGTGATGAATGGATAAATATGTGTTATGTGCATATAATGGAATATTATTCAGCCATAAAAAGCAATGAAGTAATGACACATATTACAACATGAATAAACCTTTAAAATATTATGCTAAGTGAAATAAGCCAGACACAAAAGGCGTCCTTTTGAGAATGATTCTATTTATATGAAATGTCCAGAATAGACAAAATCCATATAGAAAGTAGATTCTGCTAGGCGCGGTGGCTCATGCCTGTAATCCCAGTACTTTGGGAAGCCACAGCAGGTGGGTCACCTGAGGTCAGGAGTTCAAGACCAGCCTGGCCAACATGGTGAAACCTCATCTCAACTAAAAATACAAAAAAAATTAGCTGGGCATGGTAGTGGGTGCCTGTAATCCCACCTACTTTAGGAGGCTGAGGCAGGAGAATCGCTTGAACCCAGGAGGCAGCAGTGGCAGTGAGTCGAGATAGTGCCATCGCACTCCAGCCTAGGCGACAAGAACAAAATTCTGTCTCAAAAAAAAAAAAAGTAGATTCAGGGATTCCACTGGTTGCCAGAGGCTGGAGGAAAGGGGAAGAGGAGGAATGGGGATATTTATAAGCATGGCTTTTCCTTTATTTAAAAAAAGTGATTACAGGTAAAATTTACCATTTTAACCATTCTTAAATGCACAGTTCTGTAGGAATAAGTACATTTACTTTGTTGTCTAGCCATCACCATTGTCCATCTCCAGAATGTTTTAATCTTCCCAACCAGAAACTCTGCATCCATTGAACACTCCCTATTCTCCCCCTCTCCAAGCTCCCGGCAACCACCATTCCACTTTCTGTCTCTCTAGATTTGACTACTCTAGATATGTAAGTAAAAGCATAAAACATTTGTCCTTTTGTGTCTGGTTTATTTCATTTAGTACAACATCTTCAAAGTTCATCTGTCAGAACTTCCTTTCTTTTTAAGGCAATATGTACAGTATCCCATCATATTTATATACCCCATTTTGTTTATCCATTCATCCCTTCATCACCACACCCAGCTCAATTTGTTCTTGTATAGATCATGCGTTTGGTGTCATATTAAAGAAGTCTGTTTAACTCAAAGTCATGGTGTGCAAACCAACACTTTGGTTGCACACGTGTTGCGTTGCTTCTGTGCCTTTTAAAATTTTAGCCAATCTAATAGTGTGCAGTAGAATCTCACTGTAATTTTAATTTGTATCTCCCTAATGTTGAATATCTTTTTGCGTGCATATTTACCGTCTGCACTTTTTTTTTTTTTTTTTTTTTGTGACTGAGTCTCATTCTGTTGCCCAGGCTGGAGTGCAGTGGTGTGACCTCAGCTCACTGCAACCTCCGCCTGCCAGGTTCAAGTGATTCTCCTGCCTCAGCCTCCCGAGTAGCTGGGACTACAGGTGCCTGCCACTATGCCCAGCTAATTTTTTGTATTTTTAGTAGAGACTATGTTTCACTGTGTTAGCCAGGATGGTCTCTATCTCCTGACCTCGTGATCTGCCCGCCTTGGCCTTCCAAAGTGCTGGGATTACAGGCATGAGCCACCACGCCCGACCAATTTTGTATTTTTAGTACAGACAGGGTTTCACCATGTTGGTCAGGCTGGTCTCGAACTCCTGATCTCGTGATCTGCCCACCTCAGCCTCCCAAAGTGCTGGGATTACAGGTGTGAGCCACCACCCAGCCTGAAGAAGAATGTTTTATTTTGATTAATTCTACTTTGTATCACTTTGTATCACTTTGTTCTTTTTTTTAGACAGGCTCTCTCTGTCACCCAGGCTGGAGTGTAGTGGAGCAATCACAGGTCACTGTAGTCTCCACCTCAGCCTCCTGAATAGCTGGGACCACAGGCATGAGCCACCACACCCAGCTCAATTTGTTCTTGTATAGATCATGCGTTTGGTGTCATATTAAAGAAGTCTGTTTAACTCAAAGTCATACATTTTTTTTTCCTATGTTTTCTTCTAGAAGTTTTATAGTTTTAGGTTTTATATTTAGGTCTATGATCTCTCTCATACACTGCTTGTAGAAATGTAAAATAGTATAACCACTTTGGAAAACAGTTTGCCAGTTGCTTAAAAAGTTAAATATACACCTACCATACCATCTAGCCATTCCACTCCTAGCTATTTACTCAGAGAAAAGAAAGAATATTTTTATGTAAAGACTTGTACATGAATGTTCACAGCACTGTTATTTTTAATATCTCCAAACAGAAAGGTGGGACTTGCTAGTGCAATGCTGCTCTTTATGCACTAAAAAGGTTTATGGAGATGTTTACATATGCATATAAAGGCACAGCACTTTTCCTTAAACTTATGTCACAGAGATCTTTATTCATATGTCTTACTGCAGACCTTCTCCCTAGGATGATCCTATTATCCTGCCACTTCCCTTTTTCTAAGATGGTAAAGATAATGATCAATAAATACTGAGGAACTCAGAGACCCGTGCAGGTGTGGGTCCTCTGTATGCTGAACGCCGGTCCCCTGGGCCCACTTTTTCTTTCTCTATACTTTGTCTCTGTGTCTCATTTCTTTTCTCAAGTTTCTCGTTTCACCTAATGAGAAACGCCCACCCACAGGTGTGGAGGGGCAGGCCACCCCTTCAGGAAACCATGGAAAGGATTAGCACCAACTGACTTGAGATGTATGCTCACTGGGGTTACAGGGTGGGAAGGACTTGCTAGAACAGGAATTTCAGAGGTAATGAGAGGTCAGACTAACACTACAGACCTACCAAGAGGGAAAAAATGAGGGCTTGACTTAAAGAGGAGACAAATAAGAGATATTTCATAGGCCGGCCCAAATAATGTTAACTGATAGACTTCATGAATGGAGAACACTTACAGAAAAGGAAGGAATCTTAGAAGGTCAGAGTGAAGAAAGTGCTCTGAAATCATCCAGTGTTGATTCAGTGGTTCACAATCTTTTCAAGTAGTAAGGTCACTTTAAGGTCTTTGGATCACAAACATTTCAAAACTCTTTTAAATGATCAAAGCATCAAATACAAAGTGGGTTTTTTTTTTTCCTTTTTTTCCCCCAGATCCAGGTAAGAAAGAATTATAAAATTTTTAAAAATCTTATCTTATATATATATTTTTAAAGACAGAGTCTTGGCTGGGTGCCGTGGCTCACACCTGTAATCCCAGCACTTTGGGAGGCCGAGGCAGGTGGATCACTTGAGGTCAGGAGTTTGACACCAGCCTGGTCAACATGGTGAAACTGCATCTCTACTAAAAACACAAAAATTAGCTGGGTGTGGTGGTGGCGGCACATGCTTCAGACTTTGTCTCAAAAAAAAAAAAAAAAAAAAAGACAGGGCTTCACTCTGTCACCCAGGCTGGAGTGCAGTAGCACAATCTTGGCTCACTGCAACCTCCGCCTCCTGGGCTTCAAGGGATGCTCCCGCCTCAGCCCTCAAGTAGCTGGGACTACAGGCACGCACACCCAGTTAACTCTGTTTTGTTTTGTAGAGATGGGTTTCACCATGTTGCTCAGGCTGGTCTTGAACTCCTGGGCTCAAGTGATCCACCCGCCTCAGCCTCCCAAATTGTTAGGATTACACAAGTGAGCCACTGCTCCTGGTCTACAAAGTGTTTTTATTTTTATTTTTATTGTTTTTTTGAGACAGAGTCCCATTCTGTCACCAGGCTGGATGCAGTGGCGTGATCTCGGCTCACTGCAACCTCTGCCTCCCGGGTTCAAGTGATTCTCCTGCCTCAGCCTCCCGACTAGCTGGGATTAGCCATGCCTGGCTAATTTCTGTATTTTTAGTAGAGATGGGGTTTCACTATGTTGGCCAGATTGGTCTCGAACTCCTGACCTTGTGATCCACCCACCTCGGCCTCCCAAAGTGCTGGGATTACAGGCATGAGTCACAGCGCCCAGCCTATTTTTGTATTTTTAGTAGAGACGGGGTTTCACCATGTTGGCCAGGATGGTCTCGAATCTCTTGACCTGGTGATCCGTCCGCCTCAGCCTCCCAAAGTGTTGGAATTACAGGCGTGAGCCACCGCGCCCAGCCTACAAAGTGTTTTAAATCAAGCACTACGGATGTGAAAAAAATAAAAAGTAAAAGTTGTCCTACTTTTTTCAGACCCACTTCCCTAATAATAGTTTCTGGTGTGCCTTCGCAGATATTTGCAATGTTATACAAGTTATACAAGCCTGTGGGGGTTGGGAGGATTGTAATCCTTTTTAAAAATTACAGGTTAAAATTATAGATTCATAAACCCTGCAATTTTCTTTTTCATTCAACAACACAGAAATCGTTCCATGTCCACATACATATATACATCTACTTCAACGTCTTAAATAACTGCATAGTGTTACAGAGTAGTAGTGCATAATTTGGAATCCCCTGTTAACGGATATTTAGATTGTTTCTAGCCTTTTGGTGTCACACACGACATGTTACAAATATTCTTGCACATAATACTGTAGGGTCCTCCAGTCGCCCCCTTTCTTTCTGTGTGCTGATGGAAAATCAGAGTGCCTTGATTGCTCTCTGACCTAGCCAGCAGCAGGTTTCCCTAGCAGGCTTGACCATAAACCCGGGGCCTTGAACATTCCCAGGCCTGATAAAGGTACCTAGGCTGTTGCCCAAAACACTGGAAGAAACTGGCCTCAATCCCGAGCCAAATTCCTTTAAACTCTCATCTAAACTCCAAACCCAGGAACACCTCTTTTCTCCCGGTGTCCGTCTTGATAATTTCTGCAGCCCTCCGTAGTTTCCCCCTAAACCCTTTTGGACTGATCGCCTTGGCATTCAGTGCTTCTTTCTCTGGCATCCCAACCAGCCACATCTCGGGAAGGTTTGAAGCACTCCCTTGTGGGAACTCCCTTGCCGCTGTTTTTGGGGCGATTCCAGCCTCGGGTTCGAAAGAACAAAATAACTGCACATTTTGTGCGCGCATACTTGCATTAAATTTTTGTAACAAGAATGACTGGATGAAAAGGCATGTGAATTTAAAATGGTGATGGTTCTTGCCACATTGCCAGGACAGGATCCTTTTAGAAGAGGTAACAAATCAAGAACCTGTACAAAGAGATGTGGAATGCTCCTTGTAAGTGGACAGCTTTGCTTTTCTCCTTTAATTTCTATCTGAAGGAGAAGGCAGTGCCTCACTGCTGAGAGGCAACGAGGCCAGGCGACGGGAGAAAACACCCTGGGGCACTCTCAGAGGCTGAACCTGAATCCCGTCTCCTGCCCTCTGAACCTGGGATCCTTCCCTCTTTGCAAATTTCGGCTACTTTCCACCTCCCCTGTGACTGGGAAAAGCGCTGTTCTTGCCCTCAACCACTCTCGTGTCCATATTTAGGGGTGCCCCTCTCCTCGGCTCAAGGCCCCGGGGTCCTCTCACCTATGGTTCTCATTAAGCAGGGAGAAGAGCGGGCCGAGGCGCAGCTCCGCCACTTGCTCGCGAAGCTCGTTGAGCGGCACTGCCTGCAGCACTGAGTGAAGAGCGCGTAGCTCCTCCAGCGGCGCTTCCAGCCTCGCTACCTCCCTCAGCAGCGCCAAGGCCTGGGCCGCCATCTTGCCCCTCCCCACGCAGGGGCTGGCCCAGCGGCCCGGTTCCCGGGGCGCTTCCCTGAACGTCGCGAGATCTGCTGATCACAGCCTCCTTGTCCCTGAGATTGCTATGGGGCTGCCAAGCCTCGCGAGAAGTGTCCGTTAGGGCCGTGTCAACTATAGCCAGTGGCTGCGGCTCCCTCTGTCTGGCGTCATCTAGGGCGCTGCTCAGGAGATTGCGGAGGCCAGTTTGCCAGTTGGCTTACGTGTTTATCGCGTAGGGCGAGACTTGCCAAATTCCCAGCCAGCGGAGCGGCGAGGATGGGGACTTACGGGAAGTTAAAGAGCTTCGTGGGCGGCCTCGCGGCTCCAAAACCAGGCTCTAGGCGGCGGCGACCGCAGCCGTTAGGGAGGCCACCGTGGCTGCGACCGCAGGTGAGGCCGCCCCAGGCGGAGCGGAGGCCTGGAGGGGAATCTTGATCCTGGGCCAGACACCTGTCAAGAGGAGGCGGAGCGTCGTGCCTCCAGGAAGACTGGATGAGTATTCTCCAGGAGCCGGACAAAGGCGTGAGTAATAGGGACGTGCGCCGCCTTGTTGGTGTTGATCAGTCCACCAAGGAGAAGCAGCTGTGGGCGCGGTGGCCGTGCCTGTAATCCCAGCGCTTTGGGAGGCCGCGGCGGGAGGATCGCTTGAGTCCAGGAGTTCGAAACCAGCCTGGGCAACATAGTGAGAACCCAGTCTTTACCAAAAAGAAAAAAAAAAAAGAAGAAAAAAATTAGTGCGGTGTGGTAGCACGCACCTGTAGTCTCAGCTACTCGGGAGGCTGAAGCGGGAGGCTCACCTAAGCCTGGGAGGTCGAGGCTGCAGTGAGCTGTGATTATGCCACTGCACTCCAGCCTGGGTGACAGCAAGACCCTGCTTCCCCAACACCTTGGCGCCCTCCCCCCCACTCCCAAAACCAAGAAAAACCAGTGTGGAGAGTTGGTCGCCCATCTGCTCCAAGCTGCTGTGTATTCCCGGTAATGTAAACATCGTGAAGGTGGAGATCCAGTTAACCTTTTAGGTGGAGGGCCAGATGATAGAGGGCGACATCTGACCGGGAAGGCCATCTGCAACCAGGCCTAATATATCCACAGGGAACCAGTAGGAAACATCTGGGGAGGACAACCCAAATAAGTATCATGGGAGCAAGGGGTGGTTTGAGAACTTTAAAAATCGCTGCTGTTTTGCAATGTACCAGGTTGATGGGGAGGAAGGACCCTTAAATGCTGAGTGGGCACCGAGTATTCCAAGCAACTGGAGAGAGGCTATGTGCCTCAACAGGTCTTCAACAACAAGGAGACGACCCATCTTTTCTGTGCGTGCCTTCCTACTTTTGGGGCAAAAGACAAAACTCTGGAAAGCTTAGAGGAGGCTAAGGACAGGATTTCCCTCATTTTTTTTTGTGGCAGTGCCTCAGGTGACAAAATGATAAAACCACTGCTGCTTTACAAAGACTCTAATCCCCCACTTGTCTTTCAGAAAGAGATAAACGCCTTCCTGTTTTCTTGTGAACACACCCAGAATCACCATTGCCACTTTATGGATTGGTTTTGGTATTTTTTTATCCGTCAAGTCCGAAGTCATTTAACAGAAAAAAAAATCCGGAAATCAGAATGTTGCTAATTGTGGACGGAGGTCCCAATCACCCAGATTCATTATTCTTTGTTCATTCTAATGTTGATTGTGTTTCTCCCTCAGGAAGGCCCTAGCTTTCTTCAGCCCTTGGGTTAGGGTATAATCGAAGCATTTGGGAGGTATTACACCAAACATATGTTTGACCACTTTGCTGACTGTATTTAAAAAAACCCTCGCCTTACTCTGAAAGAAACATGGCAGCAGTACAATATTGCTGATTCTTTGGTAGTGATAAAAGAGGTGATGGGTGATATAAAATCAGCCACTCTTAAGCTTGCTGGAAACTGTGGGAGGATGTGTGAATGATGATGCATTTTGCCTAGAGCTAATGAAGAAGTTAAAAAAACTTAGTGTCTGCAAAACAGGTGGGTTTAAGATTCATTGATATCAGGGAAAGTGAAATTAGTGAGCTACTCAAGTTTCAATCTTTAGTCACAACTGAGAGTCTATGTCCATAGGAAGAAGTCTTTGCAGACAGAGGAAATTGAATGCTGTGTGATGCCAGACCTCAGGCCTCACTGATGCTGCAATTGATATGGATCCTTTCCTGGATTAAAGCTTGGCTTTTAAAAAAGATTTCAATAAATTGCTTATACCTATAAAGAGATGCAGAAGAACCTTCAAAATAAAGCAAAGGACTTGGAAAGAGAAAGAAGACATGAAGAAGAGGATGTCATCTAGGTGAAGGTGATGGATACAGAATCTGAGTCTGAGGGGAAATCTGACTCTGAATCAGGATCCGATAAGAAGCAGGACAAGATGGAGGATAAGAAGCTGCCAGAAGAAAAGCCTGGACCCTCTGGCATGGCACTCAGAGTCTTGATACGTCTGAAGAAACTGTCCAAGCCATTAATGTGAAGTTGAACCTTTGGAATGTAACCTTCGAAGTGAATCTGGAGAGAGTAGAGGTACCTGAGTTGAAGGATGAAGAGGTTCCAGAGACCATCCTTCCCTTGTTACGCTAACATCATTTTCATAATTACCATCATCCTTTTCATCACCAGCCACACATCCCTATCATTTTAGTCATGTAACAAACATTGCGCTTAAACTCCGCAGGGTCCTGAGCTAAACTTGGGGACATCGGCTCAGGAAATCATCTCAGGATCTGAGGTAAATGGTCATTAACAGTTCCATTCTTATTAATGTAATAGCTCTAAAAGATCATGGTCTTGATTTTAGTGACTTAAAATATAAAGGTTTCCTTAGGACCACTCAGCCTCATTTTCTCTAACCATATTCTATAGATAGTAAGTTCTTCAATCACAAATGGAGGTTTTCAGAGTTTACATTGGTAGTTGACAAGCGACTACTTGCTCTTGAATGACATGGCCTTACGTTTTATAAGCGGTTTCTTTTTTTTTTTTTTGGAAATTGAGTCTTGCTCTGTCGCCCAAGTTGGAGTGCAATGGAGCAATCTCAGTTCATTGCAACCTCCACCTCCCGGGTTCAAGTGATTCTCCTGCCTCAGCCTCTTGAATAGCTGGGATTACAGGCGTGTGCCACCACGCCGGCTAATTTTTGTCTTTTTAATAGAGATGGAATTTCACCATGTTGGCCGGGCTGGTCTCGAGCTCCTGACCTCAGATGATCTGCCTGCCTCGGCCTCCCAAAGTGTTGGGATTACAGGTGTGAGCCACTGCACCCAGCCACATTTTATAAGCACTCTTAATGTTAATCTTTTCTGTTAATCTTCACTTCAGACCTATGAAGGAGATATTAGACCTTCCTTTATGAGAAAAATCCCCTGAAAGCACACAGAAATTAAGTAACTCGCTTGAGTCTGCACAACTAACAATATAAATGACAGGAGTAGACCTACAACTGATTAACTATTGGATTTTATCAGACACTTTGCTAAGAAGTATATTAGGCCTTTAAGAATTTCTAAGGCCGGGCGCGGTGGCTCAAGCCTGTAATCGCAGCACTTTGGGAGGCCGAGACGGGCGGATCACTAGGTCAGGAGATCGAGACCATCCTGGCTAACATGGTGAAACCCTGTCTCTACTAAAAAATACAAAAAACTAGCTGGGCGAGGTGGCGGGCGCCTGTAGTCCCAGCTACTCAGGAGGCTGAGGCAGGAGAATGGCATAAACCCGGGAGGCAGAGCTTGCAGTGAGCTGAGATCTGGCCACTGCACTCCAGCCTGGGTGACAGAGCGAGACTCCGTCTCCAAAAAAAAAAAAGAAAAAAAAATTTCTAATCCCAGGGAACGAAACAGATAGGTGAACAGGTAATTACAATAAATGCAGAGACTGTCAGCTGGCAATCTGCAAGCCAGATTTGATTAACAGATGTGTTTTGTTTGGTCAGTCTAGTTGAAAACAATTTTGAATTGGTTTCCAGCATTTTGCCCTCTCTATTTTAAGATACTATTTACATAAAATTTGCCAACTTAAAGTGTGCTGTTTGTTGAATTTTTAAAACACTTGTGTTACTCCTGGCACAACTAAGACATAATTCTCTTAAACAGTTTTCTTACACTTTTCTGCTCTGTATCCCTACCCCCAGAATTGTCATTTTTAAAATGAGGATACTTCACATTAAAAAGCTGGATTAAAAATTTGGAAATTCTGATAACAGTGGAGTCCATATTCAGAAGGGCAACAGCCATTAGCTTGTTGCTTTTCTTATTTGTTACTGCTCCCCATAGTTTATGCTACCACAAAAGTGTGTGCAGGCCGGGCACGGTGGCTCACACCTGTAATCCCAGCACTTTGTGAGGCCGAGGTGGTCAGATCACAAGGTCGGGAGTTGGAGACCAGCCTGGCCAATATGGTGAAATCCCATCTACTAAAAACAAAAATTAGCCAGGTGTGGTGGCGTGTGTCTGTAGTCCTAGCTACTTGGGAGGCTGAGGCAGGAGAATCACTTGAACCCAGTAGGCGGAGGTTGCAGTGAGCTGAGATCGCGCCACTGCACTCCAGCCTGGGCGACAGAGCGAGAGTCTTCCTCAAAAAAAAAAAAAGTGTGTGCAAAGTGCCTTATGGGCAGAGAACTATGGGAGTATCTTTTGGATGGCCTGGAAAGAGTTCATTAAGGACAGAAGTAGGGATTAAGAGTGTTCTAAGCCAAGGAGAATTAGAAGGGAGATTCTGGGAGGAAGGGGCCAGAGAGGCAGCCATGTGCGTGCTTCTCTTGTTTGTTTTTGTTGGTGGGTTGGACCTCTTTAAAGTGGAAGAATTTTGTGTACGTGTGTGTGTATGCTGTGGATTCTGAAGGTTTTGTGTTCTTAACAAAAGTTTATGTCTTTGGGGACGTCCCAAAATTTTGATTTTTTTAAAATTGTTTGAATGGAAAGTGAAAATAGTGTATTTTTGCAAGGGTTGTAGGTCTGGTATGGTGCTTGCATTGTTTCAAGGGTGAAGGGTGTCCAGTGGAAATTCCTCCCTCTCTTTGCTGCTGCCTCCACTGTCTCTCTCCTGGTGTCCTTCTGGCAAGCCTGGCACACCAGGCCAGGGAGGAACAAGGAGGCAGTGGTGGGAGAGAGGTTAGTTTAGGCCCTCAGTGCCCGCCCACTAGGACCTCTGCCCATGGCTGCCATTCACTGCCATGGTGCAGCTAAATTACCTGTGATGCTCTGGACAGGCTGGGCTCATGATGCCCTCTGCCAAACTGCCTGCGGCCCTCTGTCCCCATGTGCCTCCTG